TATGAGAGCCTGCCCAGCTTCTACTGTGTAATTGTCAGCAGCAGGTTTTCGCAGAGAAGAAATTCAGCCTGTTTTGTTGCAGCTGCTTTCCAGATTTCATTGCTTTCATTAGTTCCTCTCCCAACAGCCAAGCTCTCTCTCTCGACGACAACGGATAAAATAACAAAGAAGAGGTTGCAATCGAACAACAAGCAGGATGAAAGAGGGAAAGAAGTTAAGGAGGGAGTCCTACATTGGTAGGATGATAGCGGCAGGTGTGTAATGGAAATTGGAGACCTTGAAAGCTGTGTGCAGTGTGTAAAGCTACACTTAGCTTACGTGGCAATCATATTGTGCAGTACTATTCAACAGCATAGGCCATATATAGTTTACATGCTGGTGTCACCATTGTCTGATGTCGCCGCTGTTTCGAAATGTTAACATGGACCTCTGGGCAATTTGTAGCACAAGATGGTATATTTTAAAGTCAGCGTTCATTAGTGAGAACAGAATTGAAGAGGAGTCTGTGGACCAAGTACAGCCTGCAGACACATTTCAGAGGAAAAGCAGGGCACATTTGGCCAAGCAAACAGAGCAGGGTCAAGGTGGCAAAAGATATTAATGAGGAAAAACACACAAGCTGGGAGAGGATTCAGCAATTTTCTTTTCCTTGAGCCTACTGGAAAAGGCAAGGTTTCACTCCTTCCTCTCCTCTCTAGCACTGAGTGAAAACTACTTTTGCACTTTGAATTCAGTTTGCGGCAGTTGAAGTAAGCTGAGGAGAAAGGGGGAAGGAGAGAGAAACTGGGACATTTATAAAGCAGCTGAAACAATAGGATGACAGAGGATGACCAAATTTGAACCATTCCTACATGAAGTTACCACCTTTAAGATCAACTTGCAAAGATTCCAACGCCTAAATGAGTAACTGTAAATCAAATTCTTATCCTGGAGAATATCTTGGGATGTTCTGTTTTTTGGAAAGCTGCCTCTGTACTGAGAGGGGAAAAAATACCTGGGGAGACCTGCAACTTTTCTTAAGTGATACCGATTTTTCATTAGTACAGTAATAGTAATAAACAGATATTTCATTTAACAACTGTCTCTCCCATTTAAACCCATGATAGAACTATTAGTTATTTGGATAAAACATCTAGCACTCCAGCGATGCTTTCAGGAAGATGAACAGGTAGGTAAGCAGGATTTCTGTCTTAACATTTTGTTGGCATAAATGTCCGAAGGGATAGTAATGTCGCCAACAGAGATATACCAGCACCGTTAATTGTTTTTCCCTGCATTGTCTCAAGAAACAAATATTAGCCCAATTAGCACCCAAAGTCCTGGGATTTATTTTTAACTCTCTGTGCTTATATGAACCATGCCATATGATCAGATGCTCAGAGAGCATAACAGCATGATTGAAACACATTATTAGAACCGCAAAAATAGAAAAATATTTTAAATGTGCTTCCCTGTCTATGAGTTTTCTGCCTTACATAGCCAAGACATCAGAAAAAGACCAGGACTTGGAAGGGCAGCTATGAATGAACTAGGCATGATCCTAAAGTGCAAAGGTATATAATTGAGTACCAAAGTTAGGATTGTTCATGCCATTGTATTTCCCATTTCTATGTGTGGCTGTGGAAGCTGGACAATGAAGAAAACTGATAGGAAGAAAATCAACTAATTTGAAATGCAGTGCTGGAGAAGTGTTCTAGCAGACTGCTAAAAAGACAAATAAATGTGTTCTAGAGCAAATCAAGCCTGAACTCTCCATGGAAGCCAAAATGATTAAACTGAGACTGTCATACTATTGACGTATCCTGAGAAGACATGACTCACTAGAAAAGACAATAATGCTTGGCAAGATCTGTTATCCCGGAACCAGGCCTCCAATTGCCCCTCATATTTTTATATCAATTTAATATTAAAAGGGAAGCTGGGGGGTGATGGTAGACCTGCTCACATGTGGAAAACTGGTTTGGACTAGCATGGGAGTTAGAGGGCACCCACCCTGATGGGATTTGCTAGTCCCCAGCTTC